GGGGTGGCACTTTTCAAAAAGAAATTAGGGTTGGTTCAAGATTTTTGCACAGTCCTGTAGTTGTAATCGTTCTAGTAAACGATTATACAAGCTGAAACAAACTGATTCAGTAAATCTCTGTTCCTAATTAAGGCTCAGATGGCGTATGTGGTGCTTCTTGTTACGCTTGGTGAGGAGCTTGATCTCTTCCTCCTCTTGAGTAAAAGGTTAAAATGAGTTAACGTGTGTCATAATTAATTAAAATGAATTAAAACGCAAAAACAGTGGGCTATGTGAAGCTGCTGCCCTGGCAATCGCGGTTATAAGTTGAGGAAAACAGCCAACAACAGAATGTATGTAATTAACTATATTTTACTTTCTGCACAGACTCAAAGTCAACTCATGGAAAGATTGAAAGAATTCATGATAGTAATAAAAACTTATAACAGTGTTTACATATATGGCACAGGATCAAAGTGTTTGAGCAATTCTTTCAAATGCATTAAAGACAACATGGTGTGTGCTTTGCATGTACAGTGTTTTCTGTAATTTTCTGTGTTGTCACTGGATGGAGCCAAAGGAAAAGAGAGAGATTAAGCATCACCCTCATCTTGTCATCTGCCATGTCAACACAAAATGGTTTAAGCTTGCAGAAAAAGCTGACAAGTAAAAATATGACAGCTAGGAGAAATAATGAGAAGCACTGTATGCTGCATAGGCTGTATTAAAGGGAGAGACTGAAGCTTCTTTGCAGTAGCTTAGCTCAAAAGGAAAAGGAAATTTTTCATCACAGGATTAGTAGAAGACTCAGGCTGCATGAAGACATGGAGGTAAAAAAAAAAAAAAAGCTAAACTAAAGGGTGACGGGTTGCCTTCACTGACGCCTCATCAGTAAAGTTAGTAAAAAAAAAAAGAAGAAGAAGAAGAAGAAGAAGAAAGACTGCATCTCCAGTTTAAAATAACACTTTTAGATGGTTTTAAAATATACATGAAACAAAATGTGACCATTTAAAATGATTAAAGTTTTTATGACATTTTTTATATCCCTGGATTTTCAAGTTGGACTCTTTGTCCTTATTGCAAAGAATCTTCTGTTTTTTCCCTTGCTTTTGGAACTTTAACCTTTGACTGAAGCATTACCTCCATTTAGCATATTTTTTAAGAGCTTGACTCTTTTTGGCCATTAATAACAGAATAAACCTTTAAAAATCTTTATTGTTGCAAATGCAAGTTAGCTCAACCAAACTGAAAAAGTTTGCATGGTCCTCTAGGGAGCAGTTTCACTGGAAATGCATGCATTAAGTGGTCAGAAGGATACTTTGTCATGTTTGAATGTTTCGTGGATCCAAATGATTGATTAAGTGATTAGCTTTTTTCACTCCAAGTGGCAGCAAAAAACAAAGTCCACAAAACCTTGGGGCGACAGCAGAGGGCTGTCTTCAGAGAACAGCCTGGAAAAGAATGCAAAGGGACAATGAACTAAAGCAAACTGAAAACAGACACAGGAGGAGAGGATATGCGAAACACCAGGGTAATGAGATACTGCTGAAACTAATCCAAGAAGACAAGAAACCAAACTGGGAACAAACACAAGCGACTGAAGCTGCCCAAATAAAACAGGATGTAACAAAATGAAGGCACACCTAACACAGAAACTGAGATTAAACCACAGACACGTAGAACACAATAGGGCAGGAAAAGTGAAACAGTAACTATATTTAATGATTAAAAAAGTAATCATATCTAAAACTAAGAAAACCTGAAAATAGAATCAAAAGCAGAACACGAACAATGCACATGATGCACACTGATCCAAAGATAGTTTGTCCCTTACACATACATTGGAAAAAGAACTCTTGTAAGATGATGGATGCTTTTTTTTTTCAGAGCATCTGAAATTATTGTTTTGTGGGGTTTTTTCAAACTGTTTAATTCATTTAATTTGGCTCTGGAGAGTCTGTAACAGCTGCATGATTATCTTATCAGAGGCCATTCATGTGTGCTGGGAGCCAACAGAAAGTCAATTAGTTCAGCAAATGAGGTTCTTGGTTGCACATGTCCTAAATGAGAACTAATGTGCATGCTCACGGGCCCAAAAATGTGGAAGCAGATGTAAGTACCTCATGGAGGACCTTTGGTATGTGCACTGATAAGCAACATTCATTCAAATGAATGAGGCGCTGTCCTGAACTGCAGTATCCACTTTTCCTCAGCTCACCCCAATTGAAGCCCCATTCTTCATTACAAAGTCACTTTATTGTGTTTTCTTGTTGTTGTTTGGGTATGTAATGGACCGAGCAGTGAAGGAAACTTAGGCACAGGTTAAAGTCCAAAAAATTTTTTTTGGACTTTAACCTGTGCCTAAGTTTCCTTGTGCCAAAAAGATTTTTTATTTAACCCAAAAAACATAATTGGTTAAATCATGCAAAAAGAATCAAAATCTTGGGCCCATAAAAGAGGTCAAAATAACAAAACTCTACTCAAAGTTGACAACACTACTGATAACTCAAACAAACTGACCTAACTTAACGAGACAAAGGGGAAACTTAAATAGTGGCTGATCAGCCCACAAAAAAACACAAGAAGGGGTAAAACACACAAAACCTAACTAAACCTAACATAATGAACTCCAATTCCCCCAACCCATGGTCCCGAGTTATGGCATGAACCAATTTGCAGTCTTCCTTTAAAGCTCGCTCCGCCCCTTTTCCACCTCTTGGCTCCTTAATCAAGGGACTGGAGCAGCTGCAACTAAGGTAACTCAGAAAACAAAAGATTAATCATACATAACAGTGTAAACTAAAATGTGCGCACTTATTTTAGAATGCAGTGTTATGTGGATATGTGAATTAATTCTAAACCAAAACCAGTTATTCATTGTCCTGTAAATTAATTCCTATATTTAAAGAAAGACAAATGTGAATGCAATGTTACTTATAAGCCTCTACACTAACATGGTGGGTCTTACCACTGTGTGGCTGTAAGTGCAGCCATCACAGGGTACTTACAAAAAAACCGTTACATTTCATACTCTATCCATTTGGGCACTTTGGTACATTTTTCTTCTTCGTGTCGGTGCCTTAGGTTGCACTGTATCATGTTTACCGCTGAGCACCTTTGAGGGTCATAAAAAGTGTCTCCTTCATTTCTTTGTCAAGTAACAGTGAGAGCTACAGCAGATAAATTTGGCAACACCTCCATGACGTCCGTTTCTGACATCCATTCCTTTTCTTCTGCTTATCCACTTCAGAGGGGGCCTGGAGTCTATTCCAGCTGTCATAGGGTGAAAGGTGGAGTACACCGATATACTGGACAGGTCACCAGTCTGACACGGGGCAAACACAGAGAAAGAGAGCAACAACATTCACACTCACATTGACGCCAAATTTTAGAATCACCAGTTAACCTAACCCCAGTAACTGCCAGTCCCTGACAGAACTCACGCAAACATAGGGACAACATGCTAACTCCACACAGAAAGGCATCACAGAGCGACGACGGTGATGAAATGAACATGATTTCAAAAATGAGACATAAAGGGATATGATTCTGTTAACTCTTCTGACTCAATTGATTATATTGTTTGACTTTCATAACAGGCAGCACGGTGGCGTGGTGGTTAGCACTGTTGCTGCACAGCAAGAAGGTCCTGAGTTCAATTCCACCATCAGGCCGGGGTTTTTCTGTGTGGAGTTTGCATGTTCTCCCCGTGTTTGCGTGGGTTCCCCCTGGGTACTCCAGCTTCCTCCCACTGTCCAAAGACATGCAGTTTGTGGGAATAGGTTAATTGATTAATCATTATAAACCGCGAGTGTGAATGGTTATCTGTCTCTGTGTGTTAGCCCTGCGACAGACTGGTGTACCCCGACTCTTGCCCTATGACAGCTGGGATAGGCTCCTACGACCCTGAAAAGGATAAGTGGAAGTGAATGAATGGATGGACTTTCATAACATCAGAGGACCAGAGATGAGCAAACACATGCTCACCAAATTTACAATTTTTCTAAAGCCTATGATATGCTCTTAATCAAATCCATAGCTCCCACATCTCTGGCCAAGTGCAGGGATTTCATCTATTTGCTATTATGCAAAGAATGAGTTAATTATCAAATATAAATTTTAAAAAATACATTAACCAGAACTAGTTATTATTGCTGTTGTTGTTTTTCTTTGTTTTTTTGTTTCTTAATTCAGTCAGCCATCTGTCAGCCAGCCATCCATTTCTTTTCTTTTTTTAAATTTTTAATCAATCATTCTTTTTTTTTTTTTACTCTATTAGACAACACATGATGCAAGCTGTTGCATAAAATGCCAAAAATATTCTTTAAAAAACACAAAGAAAGAAAGAAGGGTTCCATATGGGCACCCTTTAATTTCACTGAGGAGACCTCGCCAGTCTGCTCAGGCCCTGCTCAGACGTTGCATACGCCCCTGCAGAGCAGAGCTGTGAGAGCCCCCCCTCTCCTCCTCCAGCGGCACTGTGCTGTAAATGGCCTGCTGCAGCTACAGCTACAAGTCGTGGAGGCAAGAATGACACCGGCGCTCCCCTACATCAAGACAACTTGAGCGTAAGAACGGATTTGTTTCATTAATTCCTTTAAAATAATAATAAGATATATACCAAAACACGATGGCGCTTATCCCTGCATCTTTACGGACACGGTTAGTGGTGGGTGTTTTTTCGTTCTTTGCAATGTGGGGATTTGCGCTCTCCATCACTCGGTACTCTATTCCGGAGGAAATGGAAGAGGGTTCCTTTGTTGCTAATCTGGCCACAGATTTGGGTCTGGATGTTCGCAGTTTGGAGGAGCGCAAAGCAAAACTCGATGTCATTCACAGTAAAAATTACCTCGACATCAACAAAGATACGGGGGAGCTGGTTATCCGCGAGAAGATAGACCGGGAAAGCATATGCATGACTAAAACAACCTCGTGTTTTCTGAAAATGGATGTCATACTTTCGAGCCCGGTTCGCATTTTTAACATCGAGCTGGAAATCATGGACATAAATGACAACGCGCCGGTGTTTCGCAGAAAGACAATGCACTTAGACATTTCGGAGGCAACCCTTCCCGGTGAGAGATTCTCACTGACAAACGCCGTGGATGCGGATGTGGGGGCGAATTCAATCAAGACCTACTATCTCAGTGAAAGCAAATACTTCAGCATCGACATCCAGACCGGCAGCGATGGCTCCAAATATGTCGATTTAGTGCTTAGTGGTAATTTGGACCGTGAGGAGCATGCTGTTCACGATTTAATTCTAACCGCTGTGGATGGAGGTGTGCCTCCTCGCTCCGGCACAGCCAGTATCATTATTAACGTCCTGGATATCAACGACAATGCCCCCATATTCAGTCAGCCGGTATATGCAGTCAATGTCTCGGAGAACTCGGCAGCAGGAACGGTGGTCATGACCTTAAATGCAACAGACTTAGACGAAGGCACAAACGCCCAGTTGGTATACTCACACACACTGTACACATCGGAGAAGACACAAGAGCTATTCTCACTTGATCCAAATTCAGGTGAGATCAAGGTGAAGGGGGTGATCGATTATGAAGAGAGTCAGAGTTTTGAGATGCACATACAGGCACAGGACAGAGGGACGAACCCTCTGTCCGGACACTGTAAAGTCACAGTGTTTGTGACAGATCTCAATGATAATTACCCTGAAGTGACCATCAAGTCTCTGAAAAGTTCGCTGACTGAGGATGTCTCTGTAGGGACGCTGATTGCAGTGGTCAGTGTGAGCGACAGGGACTCTGGAGCCAACGGAGAAGTGGAGCTCTCTCTAAATAGGCAAGAAACGTTACCGTTTCTCTTAAACAAGTCCTCTGAGGGTTACTTTGAAATGCTAGTGTCAAAACCACTGGACAGAGAGGTAATAAGCAAATATGACATCATACTGAGAGTGACAGACAAAGGTGTGCCACCCTTATCTGAAAATGAAACCATCACTTTGGAGATACTGGATATCAACGACAATGCACCTACATTCTCCCAGTCGTTCTACACAATCCATGTCATGGAGAATAATCCACCGGGGGCATTATTGACATCTCTGAGTGCATTTGACCCAGATCTGAATGAGAACCAGTACTTGGTTTATTTCATAATGGAGAAAGAAATCGTTAACACTTCTATGTCGATGTTGTTTTCCATCAATCCTGAGAATGGTGATCTTTATGCCCTGAAGACCTTTGATTATGAGAGAGAAAGGGACTTTCTTTTCCACATTGAGGCAAGAGACTCTGGTGTTCCCCCGCTGAGCACCAATTGTACCGTGCATATTATTATTCTGGACCAAAATGACAACACCCCTCTCATAGTGTCACCTTGGCGCGCACAGGGCTCTGTTGTAGAGGAGGTGATACCGAGGTCGACTGAGAAGGGACATTTGGTGGCCAAAGTGATTGCCATTGATGCAGACTCTGAGCAGAACGCCAGAGTCACATATCAGCTACTTCAGATCAGCGATTCAACCCTCTTTAGCCTGGATCAGTACAACGGTGAGATCCGGACAACAAGGATGTTTAGTTACAGAGATCCAAGACAACAGAGGCTGGTAATTGTTGCCAAAGACAATGGTCAACCTTCTCTTTCTGCTACTGTCACCGTCAAGATATCAACAGTGGAACATGCAATGGCCTTTTCAGAGACTACAGAGCTTCCACTAGACTATGACATGTTCACTGACCTAAACCTCTATTTAGTGATCGGTTTAGGAGCCGTGTCCTTTCTGCTACTGATAACCATCTTAGTTATTATTGTGCTCAAGTGTCAAAAACCAAAGCCAAAGGCCATCAAGATCCCTCCAGCCAATAGAAATAGCGTGATCAGCAGGAACAGCGTGATCAGCCAGAGAAGCTCCACTATCGCAGATTCCACGCTGATCTCCAGCGATGCCTACTGGTACAGCTTGTTCCTCGCAGAGACCAGGAAGGGCAAAGTGGTCGTGAGACAGCCCATAATTCCCAAAGGAGCTGGGTATTTTGTTTCCAGCATACCCAGAAGCATAGGGCCAAGTGAGACCACAGATTCCAGAGCATCAACACTGGAGGTATGTAGAAATATCGGATGGGTTTGGTAAAAAGCTTAAAAACGTTGAAATTGCCCATATGGAAAAGATATATATAAATCTTATAAAGTTTGTATCTGTCTTGTGTGAAACTTGTATGAAAAGCATGCAAGCGTGAAAACAGATATAAGATCCCTTGAAAAATTATATAAATGAAACTTGTATGTTTTGGATACTTCCTTAAACAATATATGAAAGTAATGAGAATGTGGCCACTTTCATGAGTAAATCATATATGATTTACTATATGAAGCAAGCTAAAGCTGATGCAAGTCTTTTATAAGTTTTTCCTATTTCTTTTCCATATGGGTGAGCTTTTGATAGAGCTGACCTCCTGTAGTATAAAAAGTGCACATATACTTTTTTCTCCTGGAGAGCAGAGGAATATTTTCTTTGTAATACCCCTCTAACATTATCAGGTACAAACACAACATAATGCATTGCATGTTCAATAGGCCACTAACAATTTTCTCAGTATCAGCATTTCACATTTCTGGTAAATATTTTGTTAAAAATTAAGCTTTAGATTAATTTTGAGTTGAAGTTTCCTTCAACCTGCATTCAAGTATAAATCAGAAATACTATACTTATACTCGACAACATTTCAGAAGTAAATATTGCAGGTTTGAGGTTATTCCTGAAGTGAAGATTTTACCAAGTCTTGGGATCCCCTGAAGGAGGCCAATCCCTGGCTTAGTTTAAACTATTGAACTGTATATAAATCAAATGATGTACTGTAATATGTAATAATGTGTAATTTTTCAGTGTGTTTAATAATAATATTTATGGAGGATTTTGAATGTTAATTCGGGCTGTTTAAAAGTGTAGGACTGGTACTTTTACTTGGGCAAAGGATCTTAGTACTTCTTCCACTGCAGTGACTCCTCGCTTGTACTTTGAAATGCATTCAGGATGACACGACTGACTGAAAAATCAAAGCGCTTTCTATTATTTACCTTGGGTCTGTGTCATGGGTCTGATGGGCTAGTTTTCTCTGCAGTCTGAAATCTGATACGAGTTGAAAATAAAAGTGGGGCTAAAGTTTTTAGAAGGGATGAATTTGATAATAACTATAAGTAATTTCATTGACATTAATCAAGTGAAATGTATATTGTAATGAATAATAATGCACCTATTTTCAAAATTATTGGAAATAAGTTACAAGTAAGAGGACAGCTCAATTTATTTAGTTTTGTTTTGTTTTTTCATCAAGCATGTGTTTCTAGAGCAAATCATCAGCGCTGCTATTGCATAATTAGGCCAAACAAGCCCACCCCACAAAAAATTGTCACTTTTTGATGTCTTATGTAGTATGTAGGTCATGTACTGCAGATGCATAGCACAAAATAATAGCATAACTGGTAGGTGCAAGAGGGGGAGTACTACAAAGAAGATCAAACGTGGGAGGGTTGTCTTCAAGGACAAGCGAGATGCCTCATGAATCTCTAGCAGTGTTCTGGCACACTGTAGACTATCAACAATGCATGGATGCTAAAAAAAATGATCCAGATGTTGTTTATGTTTGTACAGCTGGACCTGCAGAGTAAACTGAATCGAGTTATCCGCTGAATGATCAGCATAAATATGCATGTTGTACGGGGGCATACGGAGGGAAAGAGACAAACACCCATGTATGATGTGGATGTATTGTGAGCGTGAGTTCGAGTGTCTGCATTACCACTGAATTTGTCTCTTTTTTTCTATTCTTAAGTACTCAAAATGAAAGGAAGTCCATTCTACAACTGGAGGTATGCTGGTTGCTAACTACATCTGTAGAGCCACTATAATTGTGTAGACATTTTCTATCTCTTTCTATTTGGTGTTCGTTCTTCGTTTGGCTCTAAAATTTGGATTTTATACTTTTTTTTTTCTGATTCTTCCTCTTTTTTTTTTTGCTGAAATCCTTTCCCAAGATATTTTCCTGATTAAATAGAACAGGTTACACTAGCCCACAAAAAACAACACTCCCCTCTAATTCACTGCTACTGTGAGCACTAAAATCTAAATTGGCTGGTCTCTGAAGTGAGAAAACCATGTATCAGCTTATAACAAGAGCTGAGATTAGAATAAAATTGGCTGCTTGTCAGATCTGTGTTGCGCACATCTGGCTAGCTTGGTAGAGATTCAGAGCAAAAATGATGGCACAGACATAAAAAAGGATTAAAGAATGAATTGCCCTGAGTGGATTCTCAGCATACCTGAGAGCAGTGACTATATAAACTCAGATCTCCACATATAAACTCTGTTAGGTGACGTTTTAAATGTCGCAAATGTATTATGCCCTATTCTTTTTTTCCCCCACGTCAAAAAAACATTAGACAGTTTAATATTGGCATACCAAAATACCAAATAGCACATTGTGATGCTTGCTTGTGCATGCTTTAGTCACACCTTCTGCTTCCCTTATTTCAGTTAATGACTTTGATATTTTATTTTTAGTCATGTATGTTAGTCAAACAATTTTTTTTGTATTTTTAAATTTGTAGATCGATTTTTTTTAAAAACAAATTTAAAAAACAATCCTGATTATGATTGATTTAGTGACTTATCTTTCAATTTAAATGTCCCTAACGTCTATTGACATGTCAATGATGGCAGTAACCAGTCACGATCCACTGTTGCATGAGTGAGGACTTTCTGTAAGTTTATATTAAGACTTACTTCCTGTGTTGGCTAATTCTATGTTCTTTCTCTCAGCAGGGGCCCAGAAGAGAACTGCCATGATATAATCATCTCTTCATGGGAGTCTTTGGCTAAAAAGTCTTCCCTGTGACTCACAAAGAAGATGTAAAAAAAAAAACAGAAACAAAAAAAAAACATCTGCTAGTCCCTCTGCTCCAGCTGTTCTTTCTCTCTGCTTCCTCCATTGACCACTAACCACCTCAGCCTTCCAGCTTTGCTAATCTTTTAAGCATGAATCTGCATGATTCTACAACTAAGTATTCAGACAACAATTTGAAATAGTTTCTGGCAGGATATGTGGACATTACTGAGCAGACCTCATGTCATAAATCATTCCCTTCATGATGTTCTGAAACTTTTAAATAGACAATTTTGCCTTTTTTTCTCCAGAGTTTAAGCTGAGTGTTGTAGTTGTAGAAACCTTCAGTACTTTGCAATATTCTTAAGTTCAAGTCAGGCAGCATTTCATATAAGCAAGAGTTCAAAATATACCTAAACCTAAATATACAAGTGAATCAGGGTGAATATGCTTCTTCCATAATACTGATATAACATAACTGCAGCTGGTTATGTCACTGATTCAGCCTTTTTGTCTTGTTTCTTTTTCGGTTTTTAATAAAATGTTTCTACTCTATTATGGGTCTTGCTGGTTAGTAAGATTCATATATTTTTAGTTGAGCTGTTTTCACACATGTGCTCCAGAAAATATTGAGAGAATTACTGAAGGACATTGTCTACAATTGCCCTTTTCACATGTAGCACGCAAAAGGGGAATAGTCGGTGTCAGATGCGTTCTCATTACCGGATAGACGAGACTGCTGCCTTGGAGGAGTGAGCAGAAAGCACACTCCTCCAAGAATTCACTGGGCAATTACCTGCTCTAGTCTCAAATGGGTGCATTCAGATGTTACATGGTGTTTTTACTAAAGAGCTGTCAGGGTAAAGACTGTTAAATGTCCAAAATGACATTTGCTTTCTTACGTAGAGCTCTGCTGGTTAATGCTGAGGAAAGTTTAGGCCCACAGCCCAAGTGTGAAAACAGCTGTAGTAAGTTTCTAAGAAAAAGAGCAAAAAAAAGGATTTTATTCAATTTTACATTTTTTAAACCGTATTTGTTGTACTAGAGAAGTTATGAATGTGTCAAAGTGATGAAAAAGAATGAAAGACAAGAAAACAAAAAAAAAAACACATTATAGGTGATACATTGTTTCTCTTTTCATTTGATTGTAGATAAATTAGTCGTATAAGGACGATAACAAGATTACAAAAGTTAACTAACAACAGATTTACGTTTTCTATCTGACGTGTATGAGCTACACAAAAATATTGAACAATTTTCATTTTCACACTGTAGTTTGAGCCTGTCTCATTACGTTGTACTAAGCAAGGGGGTCTGGAGGAGGGGTGTGCTTACACCTCTTTTTTTTTTTTTTAACTGAGGTAATCACAGAGTGGGGTGAGGCCAGAGTGGGGGACATGTACAACTCTCAGACACAATGAACCGTATTTTGAAAAACACAATCGAATATCAAATGTCAGTTTAACTGTCTGTAAGAAGATTTGCTTATTACAAGCTATCGTCTCTTCGGGCTCATTTCCTTAAAGGTTCACAGTTCAAATAATAACTGTGTTCACTCATTGCACAAAGTGCAAATTGATTAATTTAATATGAAAACAAAGGAATAATATAGAGCAAGTATATCCAAATGTATTTATCTTTGCCAGGGTACAAAGGGATATCAGGTACAGGCAAAACAATTTAGGAATATTATTGTTTTTATATATTTTTTGGTAGTAACTTTTAATGCTGCTTTTGTGAGCTTCTTTGAGGGCATTTTTTGTTGCATATTTGTAGTTTAGTGTACGTAATGTTGTTTTGATGGTGTACATATGAATATATAAATAATAAAACTAGAATACTTCTCTTGACCTCAAAAGTAGCGCTGTTGCACTACGAATAAGCCCAGGACTTTCATGACTCAGAAACAAGGAGCTTATTAACACCACTTATTAGGGTGCTAATTGATCAAATGTAACTGTATGTGGTAAAAGTATTGGATTATGAGAAGAAGAGTGCAGTGTTAATTATGCTCACAGCATTAAAGTGCAGACTCTGCATGTTCAGAAATCTGCTGAACCCATACGTGGAGCGTGAAAAGCATTAAGCAGATGCCAGCACTTTGAATCTGAATCTAAATGTGATCGGAGCACTCCCTTCAGTAATGCAGTGAAGGTAGAAGATTTCAGGAAGTATCAGTCTTCACATTTAGAGTCAGTGAAATTGAACCTCTCTTCCTCTCTTTTACTGTTGCACCAGGCTTCCCAGACATAAACACATCTTTCTGGCTGTCTGTCAGGCTAACGATGTCACGTAATAAGCGATTTCTCGCTGTGAAGAACGTTTTATATATTTAAATCATGCCTGAACCAATTCGAACAGTGTTTAAAATGATTTTTTTTTAGAATTGCACATACGATGAGCTCTTTGTGTGCCTTCTGCATTGTAAAAGATAAACATGACTGTTGATGAATGAAATAATGGCATTCCACTAGTATTACAAATTACACTGACACCCATGATACAATACCTTGAATTTGTTGGGTGGGGCTCAGCCTTTTGGTTTCAGAGCAGGTTTTCAGTTAAAAACAAAGAAACAAACAAAAAAAAAGCAACAAAAAAACATGCATTTACTGTAAAATGAACTGCTTTGTACTTTGTTTTTTCTACAGTAGACCTTTTTGATATTTTCTGTATTCACTGTGACTGAATGGCACAGGAGGTGCTTGTGCTCAGTATTGTAAACGTGAGTAATTCTCATGCGTACACAGCTCAGTTTTTTTTTTTTTACTTTTCTCTTTCTCGCTTATTTGCCAGTCAGATTGTACAGTATGCTTTGAGAGTCGCATCAAATGTTAGCCAGTTCCATCCCATTTAATGGATCAAAGACAGTATGGGTGAGAATGGTCTTGCTTTGTTTTCAAGTCTAGTCAATTGTCAGATTTTGATGTTGCTTATTTGGCTTAAATGTTCTGCCTGATCATGCTAGTTTGAATAAAGCTTTTTAATCTGTCTTTCTATTGTTTCTCTAATGAAGAATGAAGCTGAAGTGATCAGAAGTGACTTCTTGAATACGATGTTCTCTCTTCCCCCTCTTCCTTGCTCTCTCAAATTCCCTCACATACACAGATTTTGACCCAGTTTCTCTTTATAACGCTCTGTACTAATTCTTGGAAATTGAAAACTAAATAAAGGAGATGCGCCTGCAGTTCAAATCACAGAAGCAGACAAATAATAGCTTTGTCAGGATTAGTAAAAGCCATGAGCCAAATTGCAGTAGTCTGCTCTTCGCTGTGGCCACACAGGGCTTTTAGTTTGTAGTCCTATGGCAGACTTGTGTATGAGAGTCCTGTGAATTTGTATCACTAGCTATTGCCACTGTTTTCAATAACAGCAAATTTCTATCTGTTATCTGGCTAAATAATAACAACTTCCATACCTGGATTGATGTGATTTACAGTGTCTTTCACAGTAATGATCTGGCTTGCTTTTCAAACAAAATCAATACCTGTATATAATAAAACTATTGAGAATAGTATTGACTGAAATCTAGTATATTTGGATAATAAAATTGAGAAGCAGTCCTGTGTCTCAGCTGTATGCCGGTCAGTTCAGAAATACAGCACCTTGTAAAATTACACAATACTATAGAGAAGGCCCAAAAGTTCTTAAGTAACTTGTGCTTTAAAAGACCCTGAAGTAGGTCAGTGCAAATGAGCAGTGCAACTGTGGCTATATCCCATGTGCTGAGTGCTGTTTCCGCCAACTCTTCCCTCAGGAGAGCGACGTTTTTTAAACCAATGCAGTCCATGTTATTGAAATTGTTGTGCAACCCACCAGTGATAAACACGAGCAGAGTGCAACTACGGTTCAAAAGGGTACTTTTAATCACACTGGTTCCTAGAATGTTTAGCTGTTTTACAATGTTTATAAGTACTGTACTGCACAAGGTCATCATACTGTAATTAAAAGGTAAACCAAAATCTAAAATGTAAATACAAATTAAAAAGTAGATTTCAGGAGGAAAGAAATGAATTATTTTGTATCCTTAGAACATAAATGTAAATTGTCAGAAAGACTAAACTGAAACAGTTCCCACTAATAAAAAATAAACTGTCATGATTCACTCTGGAAGCCAAAACCTCTAATAACTGTGCTGCAGTATTTAGGGCAGCACTGTCTAGCCACCCAGCTCTGATCTGTTTAGGGATCCACACAGTTTCAATGCAATAAAACTGGTGACCTGCCCAGGGTGCTCTGTTCAGTGATTCTTGTCCCACCGTGAACCCAAACAGAGCAGGCAAATGTGGAAAATCAAACCGATGTTAGGTTAGGTTAAGTGTTTTCAGAGTGCACTTATAGTGAAGCAGCAGCACTTAAAAAAACAAACTCCTCTCTGCTGTAATCTGTAATGTAGTAGAAGTTGTTTTGGTTTTTTTTCAGACAACTTTGTGGTCTGAAGAGGTATGCAATTAAGCACCCCATTACACATCATCACCACTTTTTTCTGCAATGCTGCAGTGCTTCCATATCTAATGTGTGGGCTTCATTATAAATCATTTTAAAATCTATCTGCCTCACAGTAAAAAGAAATGTTTTTGTTTGCAGCTAGCTCATCACACAGCACTATATCGATCCGTTAAGTGTGGCAGTGTATTTTAATCTTTAGTACTGAGATACAATATTCAAAACAGAGCTTTGGGGAAGCTGCTTAAGCATATTTTTACCAGATTATCTGGACTGACTCAAGTCTATATTTTGGCCACTGTAAAAGCTTCTTTTAGATCAGCTTTAGATCAGCTTCAGTGTGTGGATTTGCATTAACTATAATCAACTTAAAACAATTCTCCTTTTTATGAATTAATGTGATTTTGATTTAGTTGCTTTAAACACATGTTTAAGCAGGGTTTTTTCTCCAATAAATGAAGTTCAGAAAAGGAGTCAATGACCAAATATTATACCTAAAATATAAAGTAGACATCTGGTGCCTACATTGTGGATGGTCCACTCTAGATAACTCTATATAAGCCCATATTATATCTCTCCCATCTAAATGATTGAATTTAGATGTTCCAATCACTTCCACAGCCACAGTTGTATAAAATCAAGCATGTAGGCATGCAGACGGCTTCTACAAACAAGAATTGGTCTCTCTCAGGAGTTCAGTAAATTCCAGTGTGAAACTGTAATAGGATGCTACCTATGCAACAAGTCCACTTGTGAATGTTCCTCACAGCTAAATATTTCACGGTCAGATGTTAGTGGTTGTGTAACAAAGTGATTGGGAGGGCACATAAAATTACAGATCGGGGTTAGTGCACAAGGTCGACAACTTTCTGCAGTCAATCACTACAGACCTCCAAACTTCATGAATGTGGTTCCATAGCCGAGCAGCTGCATGCAAGACTTACATCAGCAGCTGCAATGCAAAGTGTTCGATGCAGTGATATAAAGCACACCTCCACTGGACTCTAGAGACGTGTTCTCTGGACTGACAAATCACGCTTCTCTGTCTGGTAATCCAATGGACAGATCTAGGTTTGGCAGTTGCCACGAGAGCAGAACTTGTCTGAAGTTTGGTGGAGAGGGGGATTATGGTGTGGAGGTGTGTGGAGGCCCCATTAAGAACTCTTAATGCTTCAGCATATCAAGATATTTTGGACAAGTTCATGTTCCCAACTTTGTGGGAACAATTTGGGGATGGCCTCTTTTCTTCCAACATGACTGCACACCAGTGCACAAAGCAAGGTCCATAAAGACATGAATGGTGTGGAAGAACTTGCCTGGGCTGCACAAAGTTCTGACCTCAACCTGATAGAGCATATTTGGGATGAATTAGAGCGGAGACTGCAAGCCAGGCTTCCCATTCAACATCAGTGTTTGACCTCACAAATTTGCTTCTGGAAAAATGGTCAAAGATCCCCATAAACATACTCCCAATCCTTGTGGAAAGCCTATCTCAGAAGAGTTGACGCTGTTATAGCTGCAAAGGGTGGACCCACATCATATTGAACCCTAAAGAATGGGATGTCACACAAGTTTATATGTGTGTGAAGGCAGACAATCAAATACTTTTGGCAATATTGTGTATAGAAAATCTGTGAGGTCGACGCTTACACTACCAGAATACTCAGGCAAAGTCAGATAACCTTGGCAAAAATATTATTTAGAAACTCTTAATCAATGTGAACAATGGTAAAATGTGCGTACTCTTAAGACTTATTGTATTTGCAATATTAAGATTATCCTTTAGCAGGGAATCTCTACTCTAACTTAGCATTGCAGTTTATTCTAAACTAGGTTTCTACTACTACTGCCCGTCACCACTCCCAGGGTATGGGCCACCAAAGTTAGAGTGGTTCTCCTGGTCGAAAGGAGAATCGGTTCGGTGGCTTCCTTTCGGCTTTCACCACCTAGCGTCATTCGTCCCTGAGCTGTCGGGGGTCCTCCATCTTCCAGAAAGTTAGTCTCTGTTTTTCTTATTGGCATTTCCTGTAGTGGTTGAGATTTTCTCTGGGGTGGGGTTGCTAACCCCAGGCCCAACCCTCCTCCTTTAACTCCTCCAACGGCAGAGTTAAACAAGGTTTACCTGACCCATATTTGTTAAAATCGGATAATAAAGACATCACTCAGATTTGGCAAGAAGCTACTGGGTCAGTCTGACTTCTGAGGATGGAAGAGGAGCAATGCTGGATCGTCCAGTATAAAATAGTTATCACACTTGTCATCTGGATGTGATGTTCAGAAAAAAACAATTTTAAACGTTTGATTTAATCAGGTCAGATCAGAGCAGCTTTACCTGCTACACAAGCTTACCCTTTTGGTTTCATTTAGGAACCCATGTTGCTATTAGATTGGCAGCATTATCGGTCAAAGTGTCAGACAGCATGTGAGAACTTGACCCATTTATGCATGAGTCAGATGAGCAGCCAAGATACCCTGGCTGGAGCCCATGCACAATGGGGTCATGAGTCTTATCACCTAGAGCTTTGGTCTGGACTACAGCTAAAAGAAAACTAAAGAGGTTTCCTGCAAAGTATCCCTGTCATTTGTTTGATTTTGTGAGGAGGCTGTGTGACAAAGATAAAACAGTTATTACATTATTGCAGAAAAGGACATGACCAGGCTGTCACTCTGATTTAGAGAGACACACTGGACAAGACACTGATACAAATCTGTTGCAGAATCTACAAAATTTACCATTTATTTCACTAGATCTCCACAGACAACATCTGTCTTTTTTTGTATTTTTGTTGTAATTTGTTGTATGTATTGAATATTAAAGATGTGGATATGCAAACATGAATAACCAGGATACCAATAAGCAATCTTCCCACTCGCAGGGAGACCAGTGATGGAAATAGTGAATGTCGAACTGGAGGGTAATCTTCTGAATGTACTATGATGGAGTGAAGTGCAGTGTGACTTATGCTCCATCTTGAGTGATGCCTGTGGCCGGTTATCTATGTGCATGGTTGCCCTTGCCATGGGGTTACTGCTGCACTCATTTATGATGCGTCTGCTGGTTGTTTTAGATGCAAGCAGGAGTCCATTAAATACTGTGCAGTTTGGCAAAATGGCCATGTCTGTCGCAGAAGTCACAAAAGGCTTGTGTTAAATCGAACATTAACATGAACAGGCACAGGCTTTCCCCAGCAGGCAAAGTTAAGATCAGTTCAAAAATTTCTGTGGTGAAAGGTGTACTCCCACACTTCTTTCTTTGTTGGTAAGTGTAACACAGACCTTTCTTTATGTTGGAATATAAATAAGCATAGATCTGTGTGAGGACAGCACATCCAATTTAGCTCACATATTCATCAAATTGCTGTTGCTATGGAAACAGAAGTCTTATGCAACAAATGCAAAATGGTTCCTATAACCAGATGAACAGGTGAACAGCAAGGAGAATAACTGAATGAAAAATGTGT